GAAAGAGAGAAATGGGGTTTAACGTCCACTCGACACAAACTAGGTCATTTCGGGACTAACACATGGTTCAATTTTATTTTCATAATTTGCTTGCGCGTAGGGGTCTTTAGCAGTGGGAGGAAACCGGAGAAAACCCACGAGGTTGGACAGGCGACCTTACTCGTCACGTACAACCAGGGATTCGAAACCACGCCAGTTGACTCAATGACAGACTTTATGATACAGCGCTAACGTGCTAACCATTCAGCCATCCACACCCACCCTGGGGCACAACTGAATGTTACGTGATTTAAGCATTGGCTCTCATCATGACATAAGCGGCCAACATTACTCACCAACATTTGGTGACACCATGGGCATGGTGACACCGGTCGACTGGATAAATAATAAATTGAGAGATGCTGCAGCATGTAGCTACAATTAAAACATATCGTTAAACTGTGTTTAACACTACAATTGATACAGTCTAAGGCTCCTTATGCAAGTTCAAATAGGTTCAAACGCACAATTGTGAACACATATCATTACAGTTGTATTGAAATAAGTAATTTTATCACAAATAGTGAAGACTGGACCACTAAAATAGTTATCAAACACTTTTTCTTTGTGATTATGCGTTCTACATTTCCAAAGCCATGTTTCTTATAATGTGAAAGCCACCATGATACCGTAAGTTCGATAGGCCAGAAATTTTGCGTAGCAGTTGGGTTTCATATCGTTAATGACATTATGCGGTAAGGCTTCACCTTTATTTCAATGAGAATTGTATTATTATATGTTAAGCTATGTGCAGTATAATCCAACAAGTTACATGTTACTCTTTGATATTCTGAGGACGTAACATCTAACATCCGAACAGTCAAATGTTCGTCGCAAAAGTTGATAAGTAGTTTACTTCTTTCAGCGGACGGCAAAATTGACAATTTTCAGTTATCTGCACTGCTAACACATTAAAATTACATATCATATCATATGTTCTGAAATATCTTTTTGCTGTCTATTTTAAGAGATTTCACAAAAATCTTCGCCTACAACCGACAAAATAGTGAAACATTGGCGAAAGTTGAAATCTGGCATGGTGCACATTACAAACGGAATTCGTTAAACGAAACAAAATTTTGAATCATTTTAAATTTATTTAGTGATGGTCCAATTATCGATTTCACCATTCAGTAGCCTAATTGGCCGATGAGTGGCCTAAAGACTCGGTGCTTTATTATAGATATTTTCAACTCTCTACATGTAGATAGAAAAGGCGGGAAAATGTCACGTGACATTGACAAGACAGAAGCTATCATAATCAACTGGTAGCCATGAAACATTCTACAAACGCCGACAAATTTAAGGATTTATATTGTAATCAACATTTAATAACATTTTATAAATAATAATCTCAATCATGCCACCAATGCTAGAATTTCACTGCAACGGCAAAACTGTTGTAAAAAGTAAAAGCTGAAGCAAACACGGACTGCCACGGAATAAAATAGCCCAAATTGCACCGTTGTCCACGTACACGTACGTATCAAAAAGTTAAGAGAGAGAGAGAGAAATGGGGTTTAACGTCCACTCGACACAAACTACGTCATTTCGGGACTAACATATGGTTTAATTTTATTTCAATAATTCGCTTGCGCATAGGGGTCTTTAGCAGTGGGAGGAAACCGGAGGACCCGGAGAAAACCCACGAAGTTGGACAGGCGACCCTACTCCTTGTCACGTACAACCGGGGATTCGAAACCACGCCAGTTGACTCAATGACAGACTTTATGATACAGCGCGCGCACGCTAACCATTCAGCCATCCAACCCCCCCAAAAAGTTAAGCCTTTTATATACATGTAGATGCATGAAATGCATAGGTAATAACTTTTCAATATTATACAGTTGTTCAGGGGCGGCTGGGCTTGGGATTAGGTCATTAATTCAGAAATGCAAGATTTAGTTCTAAATAGTGTCCCTGAGCCTACCGTTATAATTTATTTTTTCATAAGAATGCTCACTCTCTAAAATAGTGCCCTTATTATAGAAGGTTATGGCAGAGCCGTGGGAAATTTTATGAATCAATTTTAGTTATGGTTGACATGATGGCAACCGTTGGGAACACTTCATTTCAATGTGGGCGTATAAAAATTGCATGTTCAGTGACGGAAAATGACAACAGTATTTGTTAAATATGAAGAAAGGCAATCGTACCTTGTCAGCTAATTGTAGCTATGGCATTTACAAATTTTTGGTGCCGTTGTAGAAGAATCCTAATTTCAAGCACTGGTCATGATTTAGGCCTACTAATTAATTATTTTTAACTACGTGTGAAGAGAGACCTAATTATTCCTTCAATAAACATTGTCTTCTATCTCGATATAAAATCTCTACAAAAACAGTACATGCGCAATCCATAGAAATATTGTACAAAAATGCACTTCGTTTCGCGTAAAACAGCCACAGGGGTACTCAAATTTTTAATGCGGAGGATATGACGTCAAAAAAAGGTCAAAATATCCCAACATTGCGACTGAAAGAAATGTTGGTGCATGTGATATTGGATAAACCTGTTTCACTGAACAACGTTTGTCAGTAAGTGTCATTGTTGTTCAGAGATGGATCACACAATAAGGTAGGACATGCATTTAGAATTTTTCAACTGACGCCTTTCAGCTCGTGGCTATATGATTATGATGCGCCAACAATTCAGTTGCAGTTCATTCCAAATAAGTACAGCTTCAGAAATCTTGAGGTTACGTGTGAACGAAACCTCAAGACACTTTGGAGTATGTGCAGTACAGTTTTGGGTCAGTTTATGTATAAATTAAGGGAGCTATAGGCCAGTAACCTTTTTGTGGTCATTTGACTAAAAAAAGTTGTGCAAAGGAACTCCGTATGATGAGCCACTACTGTGGCTGGAGTAAGGCAGAAGACATCAGTAGTCAGTAGTGGAACCATTTCTACTCAGTCTGTAGATAACAAATCTTACCTCTCAACCCTCCGTGTTTCGAGATAAGAGATGATGCCATTTACTCCAATATAGCACATGCGAGAGCGATTCGCACCCGGCACTTGTAAACAAAATTGACAATATTTTTAATCAAAACAACGAATGATTATTGTTATTTATAATATTTCTGCCACATCCAACTACAATTTAGCATATAATCCTACCTGAAACAGGTACAAATCGTCGTTTTTAAAATCAAAGCGTTAAGCCTTTACTAAGACCGCCATCTTTTTAAACGATACGCTGTCATCATGAAGGCAGGGCGGCTCTATTTCAGTATCGCACCTCTACCAGTTCCCGAGGTCGTAGAGACTTGTAATTTTAAGGGGATGTTCGGGTGGGCTAGCAATGACCTCACACCAAATTTCAGCCGAATCGGTCAATAACTTTTTATTTTACGTTAGTTTAGCTTCTATAAGAGATAAGTTTATCCGAGGCTGACCTTAAAAATATCTTTGTTTCGCCTAACGCGACCGACTAACTAAAACCACCCCCGACTTAAATTATTTTATTGCACTTTTCCACGATCTTTTTATTTTATTTTGTGTGTCAACCTGAAATATATCACGAGAGTTATTTCCCTTTACTATGGCTATGGTTTGATTCATTATTGAAACTGGTTGATCAAGACGAAAGCGTCATAGGTGTCGCTTCTCAACAAAATGGTTGCAGACAAATACACGTCCATTCCCACGAAATGATTCTGCTTCTATGTCTGTGGTGCGTAGTTTTAAACATGACGACGATATTTTCAAAATCCGTTTTCGAGAAAAATGAAGGCACAACCCGCAGTATCGTTAAAAACGTGTTGAAGGAGTTTCACACTTCAAGTTCGTGGCAAATCGTTTGCGAGTCGGGCATCACGAAAAATTCCCTATGTCATTCACTCATTTATTTTTTTGCCAATTGAATAAAGAAGACGAATGTTTCCACCCGGAAAATTATTAAGCTGTCAAATTAGCTTTTAAGTTTAATAAAAAAACTTTCAGTTCGTTACTTTTTACGTCAGACCCCAAATTCATTAAACAAAATTAATGAATCTGTAGTATACAGCTAATAAGTTTTCTGTATTGATTTCACTAACTTTAAAAAAAAAATCTGAAAAAAAAACCGACCTACCGACCCTTCTCCTCGATTGTGGGTCGGATTTGGTGAAACAAAGATATTTTTAAGGTCAGCCCGATTTTGACGCCATTTTGTTTGTTGACTATTTAGGCTTGAATGACGTCATATGTGGATTGTGGGTTAGGATAAGGGCTAGGACCTGTAGATTTCGTCATAGTCTCAAGATGTAGACAGGACTAGCCCTAACCCTAACCCTGTCTTGTTATTCGAGTCTAAATAGCCAACAAACAAAATGGCGTCAAAATCGGATAAACTTTCCCTCATATAAGCTAAACTACAGTAAAATAAAAAGTTATTGACAGATTCGGCTGAAATTTGGTGTGAGGTCATGGCTAGGCCCCATGAATACCCCCTGAAAATTTCAAGTCTCTATGATCATGGGAACTGGTAGAGGTGCGATACTGAAATAGAGCCGGCAGGGCTAAATATAAGGCTTTTATAACAGCCAATCAAAAGGGCAATCTAAAGCATTTTAACTATGAATGGTTTTCGATGGCGGTGAATGTCCGACAAAAACAACGCTTCATTAATTTATATAAAGCGAATATTTGGAGTTAGGAGGCGAATATTTGAGTTAGGAGGCGAATATTTGAGTTAGGAGGCGAATATTTGGAGTTAGGCGACAGTTGTGCCACTACATTGGCCTCTGTAAGTTTAATTAATCATTAATAAAGAAATTGAGTTTGCCACTTGGAAATAAAGGCACCCAATCGTAGCTAAAAACAAACACATCAGTATATCTCAACGTTTTTAGTTCTGTTCTCGTAGCTACTCAGTCTGCAGCATGCTCATGCTGCATGGCATAGCAACGGGGATACTACTGATGTTTTTACATCCTCTCAGAAATGTTATGAATTAAAACTTGTTCTCGCAATACCTACTTAGACTTTCCAACAGCGCTGTCTCCTAAACATATTATTTTAACCTTTACTTCGTCACTATCGTCAGTTTTATCGTAATCGGGAACTGCAGTTATATTCGCCATGTTCACTCCAAAATATGTACTTCCGCTGCTGACTTGTGGGATATAACTTTCCGAAACGAGGCAAGAGATAAAATCACGTGCCCTCCCTACCGCCGGATTTCGTTTCCGGAGTATAAATATAGCCTATCTCATAAACCGTTCAAGATATCTTTACGGAACTTTGTACCAACATTAACCCATTAGATAGTAGCTCTGCCATTTGCTAATTTGAAGTTTCTCGAATTTAAAATTACTTGTGTTTCCATGGAAACAGATTTGACTTAGTTTGTGATAGATTAGCGACCGGCAGCTATTTTTAAATATATTGAGTGGGCGCCATGGAAAACGCATCACTTTTTTTTCCCAAATATTTTATTACTAGGTGGTTTTGTATGTATAAAATTATGCAATACTATGAACTATTGTTTCACACAATGCTCCCAAACGCAAAAAATATCGGCCCGTGTGCACAAAAAAAATGAAAGTGGATAAACGACCGGATCCGGCTTCCGATATATCGTCTCTGATTGGCCAATTTTAACATGTGGACATTTTCCAATATGGCGGCCTCTACAGGCTTTATGACTCTAAATTCACTTTTAGTGGGGATGAAACAATTTGAATTTAAGAATAAAGTGACATATTGGCGAAGAGATACGTGGACATTAGAAAATGGGTTAGGGTTAGGGTTTGGAACCGAAATTTACGATATCCGGTTTCATATTAAATTTTCGTTAAAGAACCGGGCGGCAACCGGTCGTTTATCCACTGCCAAAAAAAATTGCACGAGATGCACATATTCACGTGCAGCATTGTGTGTGAGCCCTTTAAAAGCATGTTTTCAACTTAATGTGCAGTACATGACCTGTGAAACGTCAATCTGTCGTAATTTGTTGTTGGACGTGTGAAGGAATCGAGCTAGAGATGCCGAGACTTACTGAAAATGAACGGAATGAAGCCATGGGAATGTCCAGGGGTCTACGCGTGCTATTGCCAGACACTTCAATTGTCATCAGTCAACTATTGTGAGGTTGGTGGAACGTGTTCGAGTTACTGGATCAACACGTGACCGTCAACGTCCTGGTCCACAACGCGTTACAACCCAGACTCAAGACCGCTACATCCGGGTCACTCATCTGCGTGACAGATTCCGCCCAGTGACTCGAACAGGTGCAGCAGTCGTCGGAAGACAAGGACCAGTAAGTGCCAACACCGTAAGACGTCGTCTAAGAGAAGTAGGACTCCGTACACGACGACCTTATGTTGGAGCTATCCTCAGGGATCATCACCGTCAGTGGCGTTTGATAAGGGCTCAAGGACACCAGACATGGAGAAGAGTAGACTGGCAAAGTGTTCTCTTCAGTGATGAGAGTCGCTTTCATCTTTATCACGCTGATGGCCGTCAACGTGTGTGGAGACGTCTTGGGGAACATCTTGCAGACTGCTGCGTCTTCAAAACAAATCGATGGGGTGGGGGAAGTGTATAATGGTGTGGGGAGGCTTTACATTTCATCACCGGACCGCCCTACAAATTTGCAGGGGTCGCGTTAATGCTGTAGCCTACCGTAATGATGGCCAGTGGAGGACACACGCGCTACTGACATCTGTGTCGTACTTTTGGTTTTGACCCCTCTAACTTTGTACCCTTGATTACAGATTAAACATCCATAAGTGCACAAATGTGGTGTTATTGATGTGTTCCTGTTTGAATATTGTTCACGAAAAACTAAGTGATGCGTTTCCATGGCGCTCAGTATATTATTTTCTTCTTCAGAAGCTGGTTAGTTTCCGAAAGCTGTATCTCAGTTTTGTAACAGCGCCAAGTTTATGAAAATCGGAGCAGAACTGACTGAGTTACTGCCCATTTAGTAACGCGAACTGGCAGACCCCTTGTTCGCGAAATTGGCCATTTTGCTTCAATTAGTTCAATTTTCAACCCCACGTCATATCTCAGAAACCAAAAGTCCTAGAGTAGAGACATAATTATTTCACCAAAATAAAGCTAATTTACGCACCAACACAATCATGCAAACACATTACACATAGGTTGAGAAGTTTATTTTCTAATGTTTGCAATAACCGTAAACTTGAACTAAGTAACAAGCAGCTATTTTTAAATATTAATTTGTTGTCTATAGCCTAACGTTGTTATTTTCCCAAAGCTGCACATCTCAGCATTGTAACAACACCAATTTTTTAAAAATCGGAGCAGTATTGACGGAGTTACTGTCCGTTTAGTAACGCCAACTGGCAGACCCCCCCCCCCCCCCAACACACACACACTTTTCGCGAAATCGCGGTAGCACGATTTACCCAACCTACCCAAATCTACCCAAATCCACCACTATTTCATATCATATCACAATAATTTGTATTGGTATTTGATAATATACCGTTCTTTCTGTCAAATTATCATTTTTAATTTTAAATTGTAGCGTTTTTGTGTCAGAATGTGATTTCCACGTAACTTTGGAAGTCGTAACCAAGGGACATAACTCCTCTAATACAATGAATGAAATATGGTTTAATGACACGTCAGCTCCAACCGGGCTATATTGCGCCAAACATGGTGATGCTACGAGACAAACTAGAAACAAATAATCACAATATTATCTATATATACTATTCAAAAAAAGAAGGGGATATTTGATTTTGGGGGCATAATACTAAAATATGCAAATGACTACGAAAAAAGTCACTATAGAACCTAACAGAAGAAACATTTCCAGTTACATGTGACGCCCAAACGCACCAATAGCTACCGCATGGAATGCAGGTGATGCTTGGGATCATCATGGGGGTCCAACCCAAGATTTGCACGACCCTGACTTTGAATGTTACAGTCATTGTGGCATTGAATTCCAGGGTGGAAACATCAGTTTAATTGTTTTAGTGACCAGAAAACAAATTTTGATATGCGTCGGCTTACCCAAAATGAAAGGTTACGTGCCCTTGGCATGCTACAGATCGGCACAACACAGGCGGTTGTGGCGCGGACGATGAATGTTTCTCAGTCTGTCATAAGCAGGCTATGGTCCAGATACCGTGATACACAATCTGTACAGGACAGACCACGCTCAGGTCGACCAAGGGCGACAACTCAAGCCCAGGATCGATTTATCCGTACCTTGGCCTTGAGAAATCGTGTCATCACAGCAAATCAGATCAGCGCTCGTCTTCAAACAGACACTGGTGTGAGAGTGAGTGGCCAGACGATTCGGAATCGACTGCATAGGGGTCACCTTCGCGCCCGACGTCCTCGCGTGATCCCTTGTTTGAGAGATCATCACATTCAGGCAAGACGTCGTTGGTGTAGGGATCGTCAACACTGGGATAATCGACGCTGGAGCAATGTGATGTTTTCAGATGAGTCAAGGTTCACTGTTGATTTTTTGGACAGACGTAGGAGGGTGTGGCGTCGTCGAAACGAGCGCTTCCAAGACGTTAACGTCATCAGACATGATCGATTTGGGGGTGGTTCTGTTATGGTGTGGGGAGGCATCACTGTTGCTGGAAGAACAGCTTTACATGTTGTTGCAGGGCGTGTTACAGGCCAGTACTACCGGGACAACATCTTGGCAGTCCATGTTGTGCCGTTCGCACGACGTCATGGCCGCCGTTTCATCTTCCAGGATGACAACGCAAGATGTCACAGGGCCAGGATCGTTACAGGTTACCTCCAACAACAGAACATCACCACATTACCTTGGCCAGCACTGAGTCCCGACCTCTCCCCCATCGAGAATGTCTGGGACATGCTTGGACAGAGGTTACGTCAACGTCAACAACGTCCTGCCAATGTCCAAGAACTTGCTGCTGCGTTGCAACAGGAATGGGACAATCTGGACCAAAATGACCTTAGACGTCTCATTAGGAGTATGCCACGTCGGATCAATGCTTGTTTGGCAAACAGAGGAGGATTTACCCGTTACTGACTTGGTTGTGATGCTGTGGTAACTTTGCTGTTTGACCCCGGGTATCATTTTACCCTTATAATGGTCAGTCTGTGCCTTACTTAGTCTAACGATCATTTGGAATAAATCGATGAATGTGAATTTCATTTCATTTTGTCATTTGTTTCTTCGTCAGTTTCATTAGGTGACTTTAATAACACTTAAAAATCAAATATCCCCTACTTTTTTTGAATAGTATATATAAAAACAAATATCACAGTAAATATAAAATAAAAATAAATATCACAAACTTTATGTATATATATTTAAAACATGAAAGAGAAAATCAGGATATATACAATTAAAATTTTCGATAAAAGTTTGTCTCTTTTAAAAAATCTAGCGCTTTACATATAGACCCGGCTGGGCAAACAATTGGTGTAGTGAATGGCAACGGTAGTACCGTGATCTTGTATGTTTGAGATGGCAGGATGGGGGGCCTGACAAGGACAGCTGTCTAGTTGTTCGGATGGGACGAAAAACCGAGGTCCCGTGTACACATTGGCGTGCACGTAAAAGATCCCTTGGCAGTTGGAATTCGATATAAGACTAGGCCGTAGCGCCGCTGCCCGGGCAAAATTTCCCTCATTGCACACTGTATGGCGTATGCCCGTCTTCATTAGCCCAGGATAGGAGCAGAACCGTAGGACGTTAAACCCCATTTCATTTCATTTCATTTCATGTTTGAGATGCTTGCACTCAATCAAAATGTGCTTAACTGTCAAAGGAACATGACAGTGTTCACATTCTGGTTGAGGCTCTCGCTTTAAGATGAAAATGTGTGTTAAAAAGGTATGACCAAGACGAGAGCGACACAAAACAACTTCATCCCTCCTCTTGGTTCTATAGGAGCTTGGCCAGTCTCCTAAGAGAGGTTTGATATGATGAAGTTTATTTGTGCCTGCAAGATCCCAAGACCGCTGCCAGCGGCCATGAATGAAATTATGTACATGTATGATAGATTTAAAATCTTTCGAACCATCTGTGTAAACAGGTGCATAATCACCATATTTAGACCTTAGCTCTCGAAAGAGAGGCTGAAAAACCGTGGAGTTAGTATCTCTCCTTTTATGTTGCGTAAGATCGAAATCAATCTTT